GCGAATGTGAGGCTGCGAGACCCAGTTTACGGGTGCATGGGTGCGATTTCGGCTTTACAACAGCAAATTCAGTCCTTGCAAGCTGAGCTAAACGCGGTGAGGGCTGAAATCCTCAAGTACAAGTATAGAGAAGCAGGCATCATCAATCCCACTTCTCACGTGACTTTGCTTTCACCGGGCACGGTCTCGATTGCCGCGCCGCCTCCCACTCCGCCGCCGCATCCTGCTCCTCCTTCACTGCCGCCTCCTCTCCCGCCTGCCTCCTCGCCTCCTTCCTTGTTTACACAGCCAAGTGGCACAACTGACTATGGCGGTATTTCCAGCGAGAATGTCTCTTATTTTGGTTAAAACTTCTAAACTTGTTACTGAAAGATCTGATTTTATTTTTCTTTCCCACGAATTATTTGGAATAAAATCGAGAGCATGATTATATTGTTAGCTGATTTGGTTGGGATAGGCAACTTTAGTCTTCTTCACGATTCAAGACATCCATAGAGTTATCACTGTGTTTCGAGTTAAGGTTTATTATATACTTGGTTTGCTGGTCCATCTCTAGCCATGTATGTAATTTGCTTCTAAACATATATGTCATTTCTCACTTTCTTATCTTATATACTGAGAATCCTCTTATGTGTTGCTTTGCATATGAAAAAATTTCAGTTCTCACTGCACCATGAATATTTGTCAAGCATCTTCCACATCTGCGTGTTCTTCTGGTTAAAGAAGCTAAAAGAAATGTGTAAAAAAGAGCTGAAGATAAAAAGTTGAGAAAAGAGAAAAAGAAATGGCGTAACCCAGTTTAGTAGTTTTTTTTTTGGATCAAAATCCTAGTTTAGTAGTTAGATCCTCTAGAGGAGAGAGCAAGAGTTTTGGCTCAAATGTCTAGACGTTGCACGTGTGGTAGTAGTTGACCACATGCAGTCTTTGCAACGTGCTCTTCTGTGCCCCACGGAAGTGACTCTGAACATTACTTCAAGTTGAGGGAGACAAAAGGTATTGTGATTCAAGGCAGCTTCTGAAACTTAGGCCATCTAATTTTTTGCACTTTGTCAACTTACTAATTGCTTTCACACAACTGTGCGTTAGCTGGGTAAATTAACCATCTCCTTCCTAATTTTTCTTCTTTCACATATGTTGCCTTGATCTTTCTTACTTTTCTGATACAGAGATTCTTATAGCTATGTTTTCACTTTATTTAATCTGCCCTTCCCCTTTCCTTGACCATTTTTTTTATTTACAGATCATCTCTTTTACTCCAAATCATGTTTTGATGACTTAGTGGAATACTATTATTGGTTTAAGTATTAGATGAGCTAGATAGTGAATTTGTTCCCAAAGTTTTTTCCAATTTTTTCCCTCAAATAAAAAAGTTGGCAAACATATGTTACTTTAGGAAGTGGGGTCATTTTTCCATTTCATTCTAAATTCTTAATTTGACTATTTCACTAACTCTCTCTATCAAGAACCTAGTATAGGGGCCTTGTTTATGTCAAAGACTGATATGAGGTCACTGTTCATAGGTTTGCTAAATGACAATTCACAGTGATTTAATTTTTCTTTAGGTTTAGCTCCACCCAAGTGAGTTTGGTAGAGGAGCTGTGGTGAATAAATCTGACACAATTCAAGGTCGATGAATAGTGTAGATATTCATGTTTATGTCTCATTCTGAAGTATACGCTTCATGAAAATTTGAATGTTGACACGCACGCTTGAATATATAGAGTTTTTCGATACTCTACTTTTTGAAGTCTACCAATTAAGTCACATGATGGTTTAACATGGCCAACATAAAAACTGTCTTAGTTGATCTTTCATATTCTTTAGACGTGAAATTCTTAATGCGACAACTTAAAAAAAGTCTAGTTGTTTAGACAAATCAAATTAAATGACCGGCAAACCATATAGATATGTACGAAAGGACACAAATAGCATGAACCATTCATGTGTACACAGCACACAATTTAGCACGAATAAAAACTCAAGACTACCTACTATCATCGTATTAACCAAAAAGAACAATGAAAATCTGGATATTTCTAGCTAGGAAGGGGGGAAATATTGCCTACACTTGATTCATAAACACTTTAAGTCACCTACACATATATAGTACTACATGTGATGGATCTACGGTTGAATAGTCAATGGTCGTGCCAGCTAAAAGGTGGATGATATACACATTGTGTTCTGATGATGATGGGTGTGGTTTCCTTGGCGTGTGGACATCAACCAGCTTAGCGGGAAGGAGTGAAGCAATTAAAGATCCGTGTGGTATCATATTTTCCTTATTTTTTTCTTTTTGATTTTCTTCACCATTTCTTTCTCGTTCGGTTCATTACATGGAGTCATTCAAATCAATTATTAATATGACTAGCGTATTGAATATCACATATGGTCTCCATCGTGCCAAAGTTTCTCGAATCCAAATGAGATGTGATGGTATTTGGTCTTAAGTCGTGGTTGCTTGAGTTAGTGGCATCTTCTAGTCCGGGTACAACCCTCCTTGAATTCCACACATTTGTAACACACACACACACACTCTCTCTCTCTCTCTCTCTCTCTCTCTCTCTCTCTCTCTCTCTCTCTCTCTCTCTATATATATATATATATAGATTATGATGTTTATAAAATATCATATCATACATTAACGATGGAAATTAGTTTAATTCACAAAACATTTGATTATGATCCATGTGCACTTGTGGATGATGCGTAATTTTCTCAATCTAAACATGTCGCTAGAGTACTGTCACTCGAGTAAAAAGTGCATTTTGTAGATGGACTGGTTATAAAACTTAAGATGTGGAACATTTTCATGACCATCGCCAGTGAAAAATCTATCTCCGCAAATAATGCCATCGAATTTAGTTATCTATGTGCGGTTCAAAATCTATTTATGGAACAATTCGTTCTCGAATGCATACACGATTAGATATTAACACCGCAAGTGAAGGTTACAATGACCCATCTAAAATAACTTTCCTTAATTTGTGTCACCCTTTCCTTCTATCTTTACCTCCCAAATGGCATAAGATCATGGTTTTGAAGAAACATTTATTTTTCTTTCTGCTAACTATTATTAAAATTCAGTGTATGATGTCGCTGATGAGCAGAGAGAAAGGTCTCCATCTTTCCAAGTTACTTCGGAGAGCATCCATTTGCATATTAAAAATTCTTCTGGGGAATGATGGACATGCTTGAAGGCTTCCTCTTGCTGAGAGACGACATTAAACAATGATACAAAGCAGAAGTGACCTGAGGAAAACCTTTGGAGAATATAGTAAAGTTCTTGACTGCTGGCATTATGTGGGTTGACAACTTCAGAGAATCTCTGATAGATCATTATGTCACCTCATACTATATGTTAAAAAAAATAAAATAGAATTAGGGTTTGGGATTTTCATGCGGCGCTTAAATTGCTAACCCAGATTGTTTAGATGAGGACCCCAGATTGGCTCCTCAATTAAGGGTTTACACGTAGGAGATTCCATAAGTATTTATCTATTTTCCTATCAAATGATAAGTGTTAACTCGAGGTCGAGGCAATATATAAGCTAAGGGCCTGCGTGTTGTTATACAATCTTACTCCCTAGGCCATCTGGGGTAGCATCCATCCGTCCATCTCTGCAGGCCGTCCTTGTTTAGAAATCCATGTAATTTATTGCCTTAGCTTGATTGATTTCAATGCTTACATATGGAGCACATCAGCATGATGTTCGAGTTTTTACACACTGATGGACACTTCCTAGCGTCATCACTAAAACCCTAGCTTCCTCTCCAAAGAATATGACAAAAAGACGTCTCAATTTCAACCATATCATGGCACGATGATAGTATCATATGAAATTATGAACGTCGAGCGATATTTGGAAAGTTACGATAGTGGATTTCAAGGTGTAATTATGATCGTTCAATTTGAGAGAAAGGGCTTCGTTGATGTAAATTGCCTTATTGGCTAGTTTTTGACTTGGTTTGTTGTTCGCTTTGATGTAAGTTTAAATGCCTAAATCAAATTGTTGCTCAAATATTTATTGACAAGAAAAGATTGTGCTACTATACCAGATGAGATGCAAAGGCAGACTGGGCCAATTCATTGGGTCAACTGGCCTTTTCTTCATAATAATGGGCTTACTTGGTCATGATTTCAACATTGGGCCTTTTCTTCACTCACGAGCACTCGGCATGTCTTGAAATTTATACGCGTGTCATGAGATCAATGGTATTTATGCAGATTTGTTGAGCCCTAGAAGTGATTGTCAAATTTGAAATTGCATCAAGAATGTAATTACTACCACAAGAAAGCAGCTTCAAATGCAGGCACCACACCAACCAAAAAGCCCCAAAAAAGAGAGAGAAAAAGCAAAAAAAAAAAAAACAGCAAGAAGAGAAAGAGTCTTCATCAGGCAAGACATTGGGCCTCTCTCCAAATCAAAGGGCCTCAATTGACCCTCCTACAGTTCCTCCGAATCTCACCATTGGATCCGGTGAGGGACTTGACGTCGCCCATCCTTGTGATGGAGACCACGAAGTCCTTGTCGAAGGCGACCGGGCTTCTGCTGTAGAGCTTCACGAGCGAGTCGGCGGGCCCGCCGTTGAAGAGCTGTTGGTCCGAGTGAAGAAGGCCTCGTCTCTGGACAAGGTTGTAGACCCAGTCCCTGAAGTTTGTGCATCTCGATAGTCCAACCGTGTGGGCTCCTTGAAATGGCGCAAAAAACACGTATTGCATCGAACGAGCTCTTAATCTTATGTTTCCGATTCGAGAAAGTAGATCTTAATCGTACTCTTATGCATCAATCATGCAAGATTAATTACACTAAAATTACCAGCGAAAGCCACAAGGTCCCTGATATTGAGACCGACATTTTGGAAGGAGGAGATTAATTTCTTGAGGTCCGAAGTTGGTGGGGGGATGCTCTCATTAGCAGCAGCTTGGCTTGCACTTCTTGCATCTCTTCTTCCCAGCTTCACTGGCCACCACGGCCCTCCAAGCTTTCATGATAATCCAAGGGAACTAATTTAGAACATCGCAAACCTCTACTAATGCCATACTAACTGCTAGTTGAGTTCAGACAATTGACTATCACGACGGAGTCTCGCGCGATAATTGCCAACAAATCGGCGCATGAGATGATGCCTGGGCACACACCCTCCACGGCAGACTTAACTTGGTCGACCACTTCGAACCCTTGCACTGAATGGACGTTCGGAGCAGCATTTTTCTCTCCGGTGAAAGTAGGTGTATCGTCCGTAAGAATTGATCCGTCGCAGCCATGATACAGCGCAACATCAAATGCGTTTTAACAGTAATATGTATTCTGTCAGCTATAGGTGTGCAGTCTGTTTGCTGAAGGGCGTTACATTATGACTTATTGTAGCTCAGGCTTTCATATTTAGTTCCTTATGATCTTGGGACAATGTACTAGACGTTGAGCTCTTGCCACTTTGAACGATGAACAACCATTTAGCCAACTTAAATCCGGAGTGCCTTAGAAGGTGGGGTTCACGTATAACAAGCGAATTTACCTATTGAAGCCGGCTAGCTAAATGGTTGCATAGAGATATGAGATGGTACCAACAAACATTGCCTTATGCTATTTGATTCATAATGACCATACTGCACAGCACTGGATCATGAAAAGAGTTACACCAAGTGAACTGGTTATAAACCATACTGCATGATGCATGCACGCACGATGTATCACACATACGAGAACGACGAGTGCAGAGTTAGAATAATGCATGTCGAAAGATTCTGAAACGCAACAAAGTCTGGAAGGGATTGAAAATTTACATTGACGAAGCAATCGTGGAAGAACAAGCGAAGCAGTGAGGCACCCATCTGAGCCTCCCTCGCTATAGCTGCTCCCACGGTTAGCCTCACCGTGGGGAAGAGGACGGGGCAAGATCTGGTGTAATAGTCGAAGGAAAGTTGCGCACTCGCGCTTGCACCGATCAAGACCCAAACGCAAGCCGAAGTCAAAACGGCCATTGAAAATGAAGCACTAGTGGTAGAAGAAGCCATTCGGTAACACTTGAAGAGATACCAAACTGATGAACCGGGTGCGAGGTGAGCTTGGTGGGCTTGGGATTTTATAGCGAGGAAGAGATGATCTTCAGGACATTTGAGTACTCTAGATTCATGATAGTGCATGCCCATTTCCTTCTTTTAATAAATGAATGAATTAAGAGATAGATCATTGAGAAAGGAATTTGGATGGTAGATCGTTTAAGCAAAACTTTTGGTGAAGTATGGCCAAATGAGGCCACAATTATATGGAGTTGGTAGATACTTCGATAGCCGTCTCTGTGAGGGGACCTAGTAATTTAATGAGACCTCCACAATAATGTCGCATCAACTACACATAAGAAGAGATTATTCATGGGATAGGTAAATCGGAGGCAGAAATTTACTTCTAAACTTGAGGAAACTTGCGGCTCTTTTTTTACCACCTCGAATTCAATTTGGAGAACCCCTCGAAAGCCATCTACCCTCTGCAATTAGTGGATGTAGATTTTACTTGTTATAGGCGAATCTTTATTCTCTACAGCAACAAGATGCTCTAGCAACGTAAGATGGGGCCCAAAAATAAGTTCCTAATTCGAGCAACATTAATTCCAAAGATTATAAAAGTGGATACAAGACTATGTACCTAAGATAGAGATGGCTGTTACTGATGTAGCTAATAGTCCACCTACATTCATAACAATGGACATAGTGCAAATCAATGTTCGGCTCAGAAAGGAAGGCAATAACTTCCTAGTTTTCTCAGCTGGCTAAATGATAGAGAAGTTCATATTACTATTGCAACCATACTAGCAGCTATAATTTTTCGTACAAAGATGTGTGTAATAAGTAATGGAGCATTGTTGAAAATATGTCTTGAGTTTGCACTCAAAAAAGAAGTTTCTTAACTTTAATGTGTATAATATTTGAGTGGTTATCTAGTTTGAAAAGGTTTCCTGTTTTGGATTCACATTCTTGTCTATATAAGAAGTGGGCCTTATTTGTGAAGAGAAATCTAAGAGGAGCTTATGCTTGTAAATTACATCACGAGTTTGAAGCTGTTAAATTCTTGTGTTAAGATTTATTGTAATTCCTTTGTGAGATTGATAGATTATTTCGTTAGGAATTATGAGGGCTAAATACAAATAGTATTTGAGTGACTCGAGTGTGATTGTAATATCCGTTATGTCTGTTGGGAGCGCGCAATAAAAGTCCAATACCTTCACTCGGAGAGATCGCCAAGAGGTAGCCCAAGTCCAAGCCTCTTAATATATCCAGTCGAATCCATTTTCACTAAAAAGCTTAAGTTAATGAGTTATGGGTCAATTAGGATATATTAATTGTTTCGCACCACACCAATTTTCTAATATGGAAACTCTCTTACACAAATCACCCGTAGATATAAACAATTTCCCCTTCATGTGTGTTAGGTTTTGCTTTTCCTTACTTCAGGTATCCTTCTGCATTAATTTATCTCAACTTGAATCTCCAAAGCGCTTCTTCATTCCTGGGCCCATGTTGCTACACCATAACACCTATCACTCGGAAATCATTTTGGTCACTAGATTCCTTTTTTGAGATGTTCACCAAGCACCGGAACAAATTAGGGCTCCACCAATCTATCATTGGCTCTAATATCATGTGTTGTAAAATTAATGCAAAAACGCTAACGGGATCTTGCAATTAAATCAACGCGAAAACACAAGAGAAACGATATATATTGTTGATATATACCATGACAACCAAGATGCGATATGCTAGTCCGGTTTATTACGAGCGAGCGAAGCATATTGATACTAGGTACAATTTCATTCAAGATGTCTTAGCGAAGGGTAAGGTTGTTGTGAAGAAGATCGTGACAGCAAAGAATCCGGCAGACATGATGACTAAGCTCCTTCTTTTGGCAAAGCTCAAGCTTTGTTGGGGCTCAATTAGTGTTTGTAGAGTGAGCACTTGTTGGGGCGTTGGGGAAGCTGGTATGGATGATGAACACTATGACTTGATCGTTGAAACCTAATTGGCAACCCATTTAGTTATATATCGTATAAAAAATTTAGAGATCGACCTCGATCCCTTATAATATATATAGACACACACATATTAAAATTACATTAGGCATTATGCACTCTATAACATTGCATTTAGGACTAAACTTATCCCATTTCAAATTTTTCTTAAAAAAATAAAAAAATAACCTGGCCGTGAAGGGGACAGATGAGGCTTAACAAAAATTCAAAGTGTGAGCGGAATTCGGTGGATTTGGGTTAGGAATTTAAAAAAAAATAAATAAAAAAAATTGAATTTTGAATTTGAAAGCGGAGCCATTTCCGTTTGAAATTCTGCATGGATTAGACGATTCCCCTTTCTTCGGATGATCAGCATCGGTAGAGCAAAATCTGCTATTATATTGGGAATAAGTTTTTGTTGATGAAAACCTCCGTCTCTATAGATAGAGAACCGGGCAACTCACGAAAAGGAGGGGAGGCGATCGTAAAAGGGGTGCAACGTTTAGAGAAAAAGAAACAACGAGTGTTCGAAGTTCGACGCGCCGCTGCGCTTGTTGCCGCTCCTCCGCCTGCACTACCGCAGCAGCCTCGGCAAAGCTCAGTAGCTTCGACTAAGACTCTACCGTGCCAAATCGCGCGCCACTCTCGTGCCCGTGACTCCTCTGATGAGCACTACAATTCAGGCGAATCTCCACAAAGGTTCCAGTCCTCCCGACGATCTCTAGGTGCATTGCGGTTCTACTCCAGTGGTGGTGCCACCATGTTGTCACCTAAATTTTTGCACAAAGATCGTTTCTACGTATTTTCGAAAAAACTAGAACTTAGTTTTCCATAAAAATATTTCATGTCAAATTCTCGCATATAGATTACCTAGGCATTTAATATAGTTTTTAAATATAATTATTTTTCTTGATTTCTACTTTCCAAAAAAGAGAGAGTTGGGGCCGAGGATATGAATGTGACTAGCCAAGCCCTGGGGGTCGGATTGCAATTGAACCAGCCAGTGTGGGCCAAAATGTAATTCTCATAAGTTGGGCGACCAATTTGCAAATTTTACAAAAATTGCTCAAACCCGTGAATAATAATTTTTATCATTTTGACCCCTAATTAAGGTTGAAATTGAGATTAGGCCAGGTCGCATTGATCAAATAAAGCCAAAAGGACCAAATTGAATCAAATTGGTCATTTCGGGTAAGAAGATGGCCAACTTTGACAGACTTTCTTGCAAAATCGAGCTAAGTGATGGATTAAGGCACTCAAACCAGCTGCCAGACCTCCAATCCACGATTTGGTAACAATTTGAAGCTGCTGAGCAAGCAAATTTGTGGCCCCACCACATCCTACTCGGCTGCCCAATCAGCATTATATCTGGTTGAGGTGGAAGAAAAATCACCAGGTGTGCAAATTGACTAAAATTGGCTATGGATAAGCTGATGAAGGGGCGCGAAATTCTCAACTAAATTGGCTAGCACAGCAGCGGTACAAGTTAAAGAGTTGGTGAAGCAACTCAGTTGGCATCCTTGGTGTGTGGGCAAGTAACGACTAAAAGCTGGCTTAAGCTCTCTGAAGCACGTTCTTTAAAGGCATTAAAGGTTGGAGACAAGAGGCACTTGGCAGAGGTCTCCGCTACCCCCAAAAACTACTGAAAAAAACAACTTCAACTCAGAAATTTCAGACGGACCCATTGAGAGAAAACGCGATTTTCACAAACTTCCAGCCAAAGCTAGCCAAAACCTTCAACTTGAGAGCAAAAGTACACTTGAAGATATTTCCAACCATAGGTCGTACGTCCCAAATGGAGATAGAGAAGGCCTCCTAGAGCCCCCGAAAAATACTCTCTGGGGGGGGGGTAGGGAAGAAGTTTGAAATTTTTCGAAGTGTGTGTTGGAGGGTTGGACGTGAGCGAGATTTTAAAGGTGACAATTACCAAACAAATCTCAATCCTATTTAAATTGTGCCAATTTAGCCCTAAACAATTTTTTTGATAATTGAATCCTAGACCTTTTGCACTTGTGCTAATTCAGTCTATTTTGACCAATTTTGGCAGTTGTCTTACATGGCGCGGCAGTGTCGATGCAAAATCTTTTAAATAATATTTTAATATTTTTCGATTTATTTATTTATTTTCCCTTCTTTTTTCTTTTTGTTTCTTTTTTCTTTTTCTTCTTCCCTTCCTTCTTCCTCCAGTCGGTTGCCGGACCTATCGGCCAGAGGCGAGGGCATACGAGGTCAATATTAAAATATTGCTAGTGGAATCGCTGGACTCGCCTAATTGTTGGTGGGCATGAACGATATGATCTCGAAAGAGGGCTTATTGCTGCAGGGCTTCTTCGCGAGCTCCGCGTGCATGGTGAACGACGGATTGAACAGAGACGATTCCTGCTTGGCGGAGAATCAAAATTAGCATCGCAATCCACCATCGAAAATCGCAGGAAGCGGGGAAATTGACTTGACGGTGCAGTTTCGGCAAATCAAGAGCTCGATAGGTGATGATGATGATCGAGAAAATAGGGAGCTTGGGAGGGTTCGTTTTGACAGTTCACCTTGCGAGGCCGATGTGCAATCGAAATAAAATGGCGGAGGGACGAAATGAAGAAGGCGGAGGAGAAAATTTGTGGAGGAGCTGCTTTGAAAGTCGTAGGCACAGATGCAAGAAGAAGATGATGAAGATTATTAAGGATTTTCCAAATTTTCGTCAATTTGGGAGGTGGGGGCTACACATACAAACAACCAAACACTGCTTTTCTTTAAGAAATAAAAAAATTTAAAAAATAAATAGGTCTAGTTTCAATTTTATGGAACCGGGAATCAGATTGGCACTCTCGGGAATCGCCAAAACTGACCAGTCTGGTCTGGTCTGGGCGGTTGTTGGACTGGTCGGTTCCCAGTTCGGTCGGTCCGTGTTGCTCACCCCTAATTCCGTTGGGGACTTGGTTATAAACATTAGTGGACTTAGGCCATAAAAATTGGTTGGTTGATTACTAACTTGGTTTACCTTGATTACACATGTCAAAGTCGAGTGAAAAACGAGGTTAGTTCAGTAACAATGTATTAAGTGTTTTTGTAGGTTGGGAGTTATAAGGGGTGAAGTGAATGTCAACCCCTTGGTTTGGAGGTGATGTTAAGATGTATGGAATATATGTGGAGATTATATAGAGGCGGTGTTTGCTCTCAATACAATGTATGCTTTGATTGTC